GGCTCCGAATGTTCTGACTCTGATTTGTGGAGGCAGACATTGACTTCACCATGTAGTTGGTGAGATGGTTGTAATTTTACATGATTTATATTTTAATTTAGAACCTGCAAACCTGTTAAGTGTAGCGGTTGCAAGTCTACTGCATCTTATCTGATAAAGCGCCCCTTCCCTAAATAACCAATAGCGTAAGCAAATTATTTACTGCGATCTGGGTGCTACAGTAACTTTCTTATTTGCGTTCTCTGCATTCCCTAGCTTATTACACACTGTAGTTTAAAATAAAACGAATAAAATAAAACCAATTTGATTTTGTTTATATGTACCATAATAAGGATCAGTATCAGTAATACATTTATTACAAAAAAGTAATATATACAAATTGTTAATATAGTCCTGATATAAATGCACAGCATTGTATAGTTAACAAAAATATATGTTTGAGCTTTAATATTATAATACTGTATAATGAATTATTCATTCTTTATAGATGGTATTGCCATGATTGTTAAGTAACTTTAAGTTAAGTTAAAGAATATTATTCTACAACATCGCTATTTAAATGCCAATACTAGGGTAATTCTATAAATTTATTGAAAGTACAACATCTGGCACGTGCAACCTTAAAAGACGTGTTTTTTGTAATATATTATTGAATACGTTTCCATAGTAAATGCCATGTGTTTAATTCTGACAACTCAATAATTGTAACCGTATCATCAGTCTTGCTGGGCCAGCCCGTGTACGCTTTTGTACAATGGCAATCTAGGGCACAGTGTCTTCTTAAGGCTGCCTCTATTATTAGAGAATAATATCTGTAGGCATAATTAACTCATACAATAATGCTTTATTTAGTAGACAATGATGTGTGTGATACAGTAATAATAATGAAGATAATGGTGGAGTGACGGTGATGATAATGAAAATAATACTTTAATGAAGAATGTTGTGATGTGACGATGATGATAATGATGATGTTGATGGTGTTTTTTGGTGCTCAGTGGAAACTTACAAGGCACAGCCTTAGATACAATGTACCACTGAAACCAACCATAATCAGCAATAACGGTGACAGTACAAGTATGCAATGGAAATAAAAAAAACAAAGATAAGATCTATCAAGCAAATGTATATTATAATGTTAAAACTTCGATTTGAATTTCCTTTCGCACAGAAGCAAAATTGCTTGTTTTTGAACATAGACGTTTTATGGAAGGAAAATTCAAATCAAAAACTAAATGAAGACAAAAAGTTAATCAGTTACTATATAAACTTATATAATAGACTTAAACCTATCTGTATCAACAATAACTTTCTACATGTGTAGATTTTGATGGTGTTGATGATGATGATGATGTCATGATGATGACGATGACGATGATGATAGATATGATGACAATGTTAGTTTTAATAAGATGCTTATACTTATGATTTAGATTATTAATTATATCTTAAAAAACTCAAATAGAACGTGCTTAACAACAATAAAGTACCGGTATGTTCATTTTATTTCAGTGTAGTAGCATCATGTTTTCTCAGTTCTAACAACAACTTTTAGCATGTTCATTATTAATAGGTCCCTGTTGTTCTTTAAACGGTTACTTATGAGTTTACTTCTTATTAGCCAATGTGTTTTTCATAATCAATTATTAAAAATTATTATAATATAATAATATCGTTATTATTACATCTTATCAATAATAATATTAATAATTTAACTAATTCCTTTTATTGTTTATAATGGTTACCTATAATTTTTATTGTTATAAGCCAATTTGTTTTTTTCATTATCAATTAATAATACTAATATCGTTATTAGGTCTGTTACATCTTTAAAAATATTTATATTTACATTATGCATTATTAATTTAACAACCCACTTCATCAAGTGTATTTTATATCTTAGCTAATGCCTTTTAAACGTCGTGTGGACATATCAGCCTTATAAACATGATCGTTAAATCACTATTCATCATAAATTCTCTACAGCTTTATCATCTCTTACGAAAATACCATATTTTCCGACAAGCTGTACAATCAATTTGTTCATAACAGATTACCACATAGTTCAATGTATGAACGTTATGTAAATCTAGTTTCTCTCCAATCACTTTTCTATCATAACTGATTAGGCTAACGGCGGTCGTTGCTGAAGATACTGCGTTGCGGATGCGGCTTAATACATAGATTAAATACGAGTGTTTGTCTTATAATGTGTAGATTTATTTCAGGTGAATTGGAAAAATATTATTTCTTCATAATTTGAAGAGGGGCTCTAAAAGCAAGCTCTCACATTTAACTACTGTATCAATTATTTGGACAATCGGAATAAATGGCAATCAACCAATCAATCAATCAATCAATCAATCAACCCATCACTCAATCAATCAATCAATCAATAATTAAGTTATAACCAAACAACCAATCAATCAATACGTTATTCAAACAGTTAGTCAATTAATTAACTAATAAATCGATCAATCAATATAATGTTCGGTTCCAAATTATCATAATTAGAACAGACAACAAAACAGACAAAACTATCAACACAGTGAGTAATATTGAACCCACAATACTCAGGTCTTGTATAGCAATTCAAACATTCGACTTGCCGATTTCAAATGTTTTCAAATTGTGTAATACAATAACTATATAGCTTATAAGTATAAGTCTGGTGATAAAATATGTATAATTAATATTTTGTATCTAGGTTTATTGATTTGAATATTGTTATTATATTCATAATACGTTATTATTGGTGGAATTTGATGCGATCGTTTCGTGTAAAAATACATCAAGAATAACCCATAAATTCTGAAGACTTTTTTCGAGTGAAGTGGATAGGCATACATAGGGACACAACCCGCTAATGTTTTTCGAGGAGGATGCAATCCTTTGTATTGTATTACACATGGTGCCGCTTTGGTGGTGTGTGCAATTGAAATTTGCATTACAGTCCCCCTCCCCTGCCAGCTGAAATGCAAACCAGATATTGAAGCTCTCAAACAAAAACCGACTGTTCTGTACAATACGTATATGATTTATTACATTACGTGCATATATTATAAATTTAAAATCCGAGTAATAGGCCTATCAATTAAGAAGTACGGTAAAACAAATTATATATATATTATAATTAATGACGCAATAACCAAACTGGCCTATGCAATAAACTCTTGAGTATAACAATAAAAACAACAAATAAAACTATGTTAAAGAAACCCATTACATCGTAGTAAAAGTCACTTTTAAGTAATAGAAAAAGAATTACGAAAGAAATCTTCTCGTCTCTATCAGCGCTTCCCAAAATAAGTGTATTTTTTTTCTATTCTTTACCGATATTTTCTTTCTTTTTCTACATCTTTTTATTGTTCATGTTCAACTTATCCTGTGCACTATCGATCATTTTATTTTCTTCTCGTGTTATTAATTTAAGTTCATGCCGCCAGTTTTATACTGCTGTAATTCTGTGTTGTTCTGCAATTGATGCCAGCACTCATTGTTAATTTGTCCTGGGGGCTATCAAATCTATATTGGGGAGCAGAAAGAGTCGGGCTTGTAAGGATATACGGCATGACAAACTTTTGACACAAGTTTACGATTTGATAGTTATCGTCGTACCGAAATGGTATTACCAAAACAACAATTTCTTGTTGTGGGTCTTGTTTAACAATGCATTATTGCATCATTTGTAAATTTAGATTTTATTTAGCTTTAATTTTTTGTCTGTAAACCAAAATTAAGTAGGTCTGTCTTGCATCTATGATGTACACTGAAAATTCGTTTATTAATTTCACACTTTCACACTTATGTCGTATTTCTCCCGACTATTTTATGTATTACATTATCAGTGTACAGTATTGGTATATGATACTGCACACACACAGATATATAAATATATAATATATACAGTATATGAATATATATATATATATAAGTGAAAGGCAAATGGGAAGCACACATAAATATATATATATATATATGTATATATATATATATATATATATATATATATATATATTATACTACATTTTATAAAGTGCCCAAACTTCAAGCCAGATCACGATCAACAACCTTAGATTTATATATTGTGAATTACCCCTCCTGAAAAGTTTTCTATTGATTTATTACAATCCGATATTTTTGCATTATATTCATACGACCGGTGTCTGGGATTAAAATTCAACGATTTTTTGTATTTATTAATTCTAATTAGTCTTTTAAATTTATTTTTTATTGAATCTGGCCTTCTGTTATGTATTAGGGGACCATTGGTTGTTCTGTGTTCTTTCGTTTTGTTGCTTGTTGAAAGTGTTAACAGTAACACAAAGTTAAGATCGTTCACGTGAAATGAGAAAAAATTGATTGATGGGTTTGGTGGAAAACCTGTCATAGAATCATTGTTGTTTTAAAATTTAGATGATAGTTGAATTGACTTGAAGTTCTAATGTAAGTGTAACTCATAGCTTGCAGGGGTACATTATCCACACGAGTCGTATGACAATCGAGGGTAGATCCGAGTCGTCAGGCTAACAGCAGCGCACCATTCTTGTGCGGTCAAACAACTGTTTGGTCGGGCAACATTTTGAGACCTTGCCTCGTTTTTTCGCTGATTTTCTTCTAATTTTCGACATATGGGAGATAATTAGAGTGAATTTTGCACGTGTACCGATCTTTTGTGATCTGTTTTGCGTTTATTAAACACAGACAAATTTCTAAATTGTAGCCTGTTTTCCCAAAGTTCATGTTCGCCAAAGACCCACTGCAGCAGACTCATTCGTCCTGTGCGCATCACTACTCCAACTGGCCGACATCGAACCAATCAGAATTCTCCTTACATACAAGTTCGGTGTTAATATATATTCGTTTACGCATCAATCACGTTCGTAATTTAGAGTAAATCAAAATACAATCTATATGCAATGATCAGTTTTAACCAATGAGAAGCGACAAATTCAGTTAGCGCCGACCAGCGGAACTAGTTGACAAACCAAAGTGTTTCTATACTTTTGAAAACCGTCTGCTTTCTGTTCCATCTGTTACCATCATTTTGAAACAATTTGCATTCAATTCCGAACATATATAAACGATCGAGGCTACCCCGGTCAGCATTTTTTAACTAGATCCCCAGGATCCAGCAACGGTTGCTACTGGAATTCCATACTCAAACTTGTCGTCAGGCCAGACTTATCTCGTTCCCATTTCCTGTGATCAGCAATCGTGAAATTCAGTTAGCACGCGATGTCTCAAAGTGTAAAAGCGGACGAAAGCTCGTCGTCTCGTTCTTCTCTCTCGTCTGCATCGGTCGTATCACCGCTAGTACTTCCGTCTGCGCCATCCGCGTTCCTTCACTACTCTCCAACAGGTAAGTTTACGAAGTTATAGACCTTATTTCTTATACAGATGCTTATAGTTTTTATCATACATTCATTTAGTCGTATTCATTACCATTCTATATGTGCTCTACTTAACGCGTTTTCTGTTTGGTAATGTACCCCAGTATCTTAAAATAAGTCAACTAACTAAAAAGCACCAGACCTAGATAAAACAATGCATATTTGTAATATTACAGTATTATTGCTTTTCATTTAAATAAAATTGTTAAAATAGAGAAGACAGGCCTATGTAAATAAATGGAATTACAAGGCAAAATATAATTTAAAGAAACGTTGAATAGAAATTAAAACATGTATAAATGTGTTATTATATTAGGCCTATTTCGTTATTTCAACCAGTGCCGGAATAGTTTACCCGCTTGTGATCATTTCGAATCTACCATGGTTCACTCCATTTAGCAGTAGCCTAGAATTTATTAGATTTTCGTCTTCATCTATACTCTATGGTAGTTCTCAAAAATTGAAATAGGCCTATATTATTTACCTAAATGTTATGTTGAACCGTTGGTCGTATTAATAAGGCGTTAGGTAGGCCTTCATCAAAATAGTTATAGTGTGTAGTATAAGCAACGAATATCGACGTTTGCGTATCGTACTTATTATGTCAAGGCCTAATATTCCATCGTGGAATTTTAATGATATAACACGCATGGACGGTGCGTTAGCAAGCCATTCTAACCGATAGCATAGTTTACTGTATAATAACCTGTGATAACGAAATTATATTTTAGCCAAACAATTTTAATGTATTGTTATATCAATTACCTTCATGCTGTTAATCGTTTAATGTTTAAGTAATAATTAAATGTTCGCATAGTTTACTGTATTATAACGTACGATATCGAAATTAACTTCAAGAAAAACAATTTGAATATATAGTTATATCAATTACCTTCATAAAGATATGCTGAAAAATATAATATATATATATATATATATACATATATATATATACTGTAAACTGTAAAGAAAAGGAATCTGCGAGTGTGAAATATATACCGTAAATAAAAAAAAAATTACAATTATAATATATTAACTATATATTTATGTATATATATATATATATATATATATATATATATATATACATACATATATATGTATATATATATGTTATTTGTATATATGTATATATGTTCACATATATTATATGCATTAATCTGAAAATTGTAGAAACAACAGTCGAATAAAGAAACAATGGTGTACAGATCATATCGGACATATCAACGAAAAATTCCATATATACAGTACATAATAATCATAAACATAAAGTTATGTATATATGTATGTATATATCAAATATCTTTTGGAATTAACTCTACATTGCACATACTACATTGAATTTGCTGGATGCCTAACCCATTTTAAATGTTTGGCATCTGTAATACGCTTTTATTTATTACACAGCAATATGAATAACCGTACATTGGGAAGGTAGGCCTCTGCCTTGACAAATTTGTGATTATTTTTGTTGATGAAATTCCTATGAATCGTTCTGGCAAATCCTGTTAACTTCTGCAGTAGATATTCTTTAAGATCTACTGCGTACATTACACGTTCACAGGTTTATTGAATAATGTGTAAGTAGGCCTATTACGGTAAAGAACGCGGTCGTCTGTCAGTAGGTTGGTTAGAATTCATCTTAAATCACAGTTGGTGGTGATATTGTAAAATCCCCTATAAATGCAAAACAGTAACAAAAAAAACAAAAAAGTTTTTTTTTTCTTACTCCAGTAGAGTAAAAGTGCGGGAAAGATAACGAGAGTGAATTTTCAATATACTTATAGAGTAAATTTAACTACTTTTTTCACTCTTAAGAATATCATACAATCTTTAAAGTTTTAATTTTCATTATAGAAATAGCAAAATCGAAGTGAGGTCTGTGGGCGCTTTCTTAGAGCGAAATTACTTCTTTTTCGTTTATAGAGTAGGGTTAACGGCATTTAGTGAGTACCGAGACAATAAACTTCTTAGAAACTACAATTCACTAACTTGAATTGCTTTCGAATGAGTTATTAGTTTCCAATTGAACAATTTAAGAAAGAAGATCATTTCCACGCAAATTAATAAACTTATAGCAACGTTTCTTTATTTCTCATAGACTCCTAAATCTATTGAAAGACAATATAAATATTTTTGTTGTAAATAAAAAGTTGGTAAATTAACGGAAATATGTATCTTCGTCTTAAAAGAAAGCTGATACCGTTGACCTATTTGATCACTTCAATTTAGCAATAATAATGTCGTACATTTTTTGAGAATTTAATTATGATTCAAACAATTATAAGCAAGCTCGGTCTCATGCTGATGATTACAACATGTAAGATTGTATAATACATTACTCCAAGCATCGAAATGCACGCCATCGTGTCGGGATTTAATATTTCGACATTAATTATGGCATCATCAGGAATGACTTGTAATCATTGTCATTTTTTAATCAAACCAAATAATAGTGTACATGTGACAAATGTTTGAATAATATTTCACAACCTTCTGACCTTCACGGGAGTGATCTGCCCAACAGGAGTGGTCAGTGTGGCTATCAATACCCACCCTCTACACGAGGCTTGGGATGGGACGTTTGAAGGAAATATGCCTACTTTTTAAGCACATAACAATTTAAATGTAATCATTTAAACTAAACAAAGTGAACTTATAGATTATTTTGACAAATAATAGAGAATAATAAGAGAATAAACCATATACATATGTGAACAGAAAGGTTACAAAAGCCAAACGTGAACTCAATCACGGTTTAAGGCTATCATGAAAATTTGCTGGTGATAAAGAAAGGAAGCGTCCCATGTAAACTACACCAAATCGTTTTTTTAAGGCCCAACACATTATGTCAAAGATACATATTGTTGAGGAAATAAAAATGCATATAAGGATAGCTTTATTTTACTGATCTTTTTAGGCCCAATTCAACAATTTCAATAGCCGCAATGGTGATTTTTGGATAATAATCACCTCGTCCAGATTATCAAAATAGGTCTGCATATACACTAGGCCTACATATTCGCTAGTTTCCAAATAGCCCGTGCACTAGCACTAATGTGAATCGAAAACACTATTAATCGAACAATAATTATAGTGAATATTTTATGCGGTTTGGCATATATTTCTTTAACCAAACATTGAAATAATATAAAAATTGTACAACTTGGCCAATCTGTAAAACGACCATAAGTTTACTATATTATGTGTATATAGGAAAGTGAAATGGTCCTATTATTAAATCATTTAAAAGTGAAAATGTTATTTTTATTTACAATAATTGTATTACAAAATAAAAACATTAACATAGGAATAACTAATAAATATGATGATGACGACGACGACGCTTACGATGATGACGATGATAATGATGATGATGATGATGATGATTATGATGATGATGATGATGATGATGATGATGATGATGATGACGATGATGATGGTGGTGATGGTGATGGTGATGTTTTGAAAAACCAACTAATGACCATTGTTAGTTGAAAATACAGCTTAATAGCTTTTAAAGAGTAAATGAAGGTGTATTCAAATCGTAATAAATTAATAATAATTATGTGATAAACTCAAAAGCTGCAATTATTATAATACGTGTATTGAATTTCATTTACCTCAGATGTAGTAGACAGTTGAAAGAGCAGTTTATTGACTTGTGATCAAGAATCTTATTAAATAAATACTGTATACGACAAGAAATGGCAGTCTGACGTTGTCTTGACTGTAGCCTCCTTGGTTGCCGTCTAGGCTTAAATATTCATTTTTTTTAAGAATCCGGATGCGCACTCTAATACCATTTTCTGCGTAAATAGAGCCAACTTACAAAAACTGTATAACAACAACTCTATAGGAATCAAGATAAAGGCAGTCCACGTTTAATCAGGCTGTATATTATCATAGATATTCTCCTAACGTCATCAGACTGAACATATTATTTGTTTACAAACAAAAGTATGGGATAATCTAAGCATTATTGGTAACACAAAAACCAGCGTATACACCTTAAAGAAGGTAGTAAGACATCTTTAAATATTCGCGTACTAAATGATACATCTAGAAAGAAAAGTCAACAGCCTTTATTTTAATATAAATCGACTACATTTCGTTGTGTATACATACACGTATATATGTATATATATATACATATAAATATATGTATATGTATAAATATGTATATATATAATATGTATATATATAATATGTATATATATATATATATACATATATATGTAAAATATATATA